TCTGAAAGTGAGATGAGTGCCGCAACCCCATAGTCGCCTTTGACTGGACTTAACCGTCCAGGGGTCATTTACTTTTACTTTTACCTTACCAAAAGTGGATGTGGCCACCCTGTGCACACACACCAGACACGTGTATTGGACACCCCTCCCAGCTGATCAATTCAGATCACCTGGGATGTGTATGTTGCCTCCTCCCTGCACATCAAACAACTGATCTGATGACTGGGATGGGGCAGATCCATATGTTCTCGACCAAGCTGTACACCTGATCTCACCCAGGTTCTCTGAGCCTCACCATTGTGTCATTTAGCTGGAATCCTACTTGGCACTACTGTATATTGAGTGGTGTTATAGGGGGATAGCAGAACTACTGCAATTTTGTTAAAGAGAGTTTTGGACTCCAAAGGTAATATTAACAGGGATTATCTATATCTATCTATATCTATCTATCTATCATCTATCTATCTATCTATCTATCTATCTATCTATCTATCTACCTATCTAACATCTATCATCTATCTATCTATCTATCTATCTATCTACCTATCTATCATCTATCTATCTATCTATCTATCTATCTATCTATCTATCTATCATCTATCTATCATCTATCTATCATCATCTCCAGGTATAAAAGCCAATTCTTTCATGGGAGCTGGTAGCCCCACTGACCCAAAACATTGCCTTGGCTACGGCCAAGGCGCATGATACCAATCTGACTTCTCTGTGACATTTCACATTTACAGGTTGCAGCACAGTGTTAAATATTGACTTTTTCAGGCTTCAGTTTAACATCTTGTTCTTCCCACAAAGCTCAAATATTGTCAGGTAAGGTAAAAGGGTAATTTCTGTTGACCTTTCAACTGAACACCCATGTTTTTAAAGTGCAGCGGTCAACACTTCTTTGTGTGTGCAAATATCTGAGTTTGTTGACATAGTGTTAGCTTGAGCCTGAGAGAGGAGAATGGAGGCTGGTGTTGACATAGTTTCAGTCGCAGAAAAAGTTCTGACCTGCAGAGATAACATTTGACAAGAAAAATGACTTTAAAATAGGGTTACTTAAAAAAAAAAAAAAGTCGGACAACTAAAAGTGTGTTTTAATAAAAGAACACTCCATGGGTTCCTGTAAATGCCATCTAAACAAATCCAGTGACTGAGTAAAGAGTTGGAAGATGAGGCAAAGTTCAACATTTAGGTCACCTTTCTAAAATATAAAGCAGGTTTAAGCAGATAAAAGGGTTCATGTTTCCAGTCCTCTTTGTGTTGGGATAGTTCATTTTTCTTCAGCCCTTTGCTTAGGGGCCAACCTGTTTCTAACAGCTAGGCTATCAGTGTTTGCTGAGGAAGTGGGAACAGCTAAGTAAATTTTGTTTCTAAGTGACAGAATGAACAGAGGCAGAATTGGGTTGTTTGGTCTCTTTAGTACAATCAGGGCCACCCCAGTCATGAGGGAAGGTGAGGCGACTGTCTCGGGCAGTAGCACCCATGGGGACAGCCGTTCAAAAAATGCATCACCTGCTGCCATTGCTACGGTGGCAGTGATGGCTGTGGTGTGCTCCTTGGAGACTGGCTCTGCCACCTCCTTGCCCCCCCCTACAGCGGCCTCTTGGCAAATAGGAGGTGCTGCTGGTTCCCCCTCCCCATTCCTCATGTAGATCTTTATTCCCACCTTGTTCCTGACATAGATTTTCATTCATGCTTTCTTCTCTGGCAGCGGGGGTGTGTGTGTGTGTTTTATGGTTTGCCTCAAGTCAGAGCCACCAAATTGAAGAAAATATTGGTGCGAGGCTGAACAATGATGGTGATAACAAACAATATAGCAAAAAAATGTTTTTGAACTTTTAAAATACAAAGGTAAAGCTGTAGAAAAAAGAAAGCCACCAGTGGTGGAACATGCTATAGAAGATCTGTTTTCAAAGGCATCAAAGTGAGGTTAAATGTGTGATTGCGTTTAACTTGTCTGTTTCAGTGGTGACCTGGTGCTGTGACTTTCGAGTGTTTAGAGGTTGAGAACCATATTGAGAAGTAGTGAAAATGCACTGGATAGCCTTGGAAACTATGCACAAAGGTGCAGTCACCCTGTTGATTGATTTCCTGTTTCTCCACTGCTCTGCATATGCCATAGGCTAGATCCTTAAAACTGCAAATGGGGAAATAATTATCATGGCTAAGAGTTGTGCAGTGATTTGTATGGAGTAATCTACTTTTATGGTTCTGTAGATTAATGAGAAAATGCATTTCCTTTACTTTATTGCAGAGGTTTCTATATTTTTTCTTTCTTTAATACCTTGACATTAATAGAAAACAAAGTGAAAATGGTAGTACTAAATATCCCATAGTCCTAAATAACGCTGTCTTTTGAAGGTCAGTGGAGATTTCCATACTAATTTCCATACTAATGAAAAATCTGGCTCATTTCAAATGTCTCGATGAGACCATGACTAAATACCTAGGATGTTCCATTTCTTTCGCCTTTGTGTGAATTTTCATTTGGTTTACATGGTGACATCCTCAAAGAAATCTGTAATGTTGTTGCCATGTTCTGAACAGCATGAGGTGTAATGAGCTGGTTCTTCTCTAGCTACTAATATTAGGGGTGTGTGAGAACATTTACTGATGCCATTTTAAGACTTGAGGGCTCTATGTAATACAAGAAAGATGGAAAAATTCAGCAGCACCGTACACCCTCTAGAACTTACAACTGCTGGTGTGGCTTGCCTTTATCAAGAGGCTTCCTTCATTCATGCAGTATAAAGAAATCACCTTTACAACTGCAAGTAGCCAATAGGTTCTGAAACAGGCAACCGAAATGACTAAAGGGCCGGAACAAGTCTCGTGTGAGAGAAAGGTTGCAGTATTTATGGCTTTTTAGTTCGGAAAGAAAAGTGAGTAAGGGTGGACATGCTAGAGATGTATAAGGTTATACATGGTGCTTAGAAAATGGACAAGGAGACGTCTATCTCTACTTACCTCTCTTAACACTAGATCCCAGGAACAATCAATGGAACTGACTGTTGTAATGGGAGGCAAAGCACTTGTTCATGCAGAGCATAGTCAGACTGCGGAATGTGCTCCCATTAGATGACTTTAAAAGATTAGAGACATTCATGGAAGATGTCATAGGCAGGATGCGTCGGAAAACCAGTTACTGGGAGAAGTTGGGAATGTGCTGTTGCAGTCAGGTTCTGCATGCAGCATCTGCTCCTCTCTCTCTCTCTCTCTCTCTCTCTGTGTGTGTGTGTGTGTGTGTGTGGGTCTGATGCTGACTAGTGTCAGTTGTGCAAGCAACTTGGGGACCAGTTGACTCCTACCCTGGCTCAGGTGCATCCTCAGCCCACCCTCAGAATGCCCTGTTTGGGGGCTTTCCTCCAGACTGGGAGGGATATCACCAGTAGACCATCGGTCAGCAGGTGGAGGTCTGCACTGCTGGAAAGCCAGCTGAGCTGGGAGGGGTGAGCAGAGGGACAAGCTGAGCTCTGATTGCAGATGAATTTACTGGAACAAAAAGAGGAGAAGTCAATGCACTCCTCTGCTCCTCCCTAGAAAAGAGGCGAGACGGAGAAATAACTTTGCTCTTAAATGCCTTTGTTCCTCTGCAGAGACAGAGGAAGGGAGTAGTTATATAGCCTTCCACTTCCTTCGACACAGTAAAAGGAGAGTTAAGCTTTCTCTAGAGCTCCTCCACAGTTTCTTTACAGGTATCCTATAAATTGTGTACAATTACCTTAGGAAGCCACTAGATGGAAACCCTTCCTTGCCATTTACAAGCCCGAAGGATGGCAAAAGGCTAGTGCTGTATACTACAGACAAAATGCCTGGGGTTAAGATCCAGGCATGTGTAGGATATTCAAAATGTTTTTATCATCAGTATTTTGGAAGTGTATTTATGCTGACAAGCATGAGTTGCGCTCCTCAGAATGCTCCATGGAGATTCAGACTAAACTTTAGGAAGAATTTGCAACTCAGTGGCATGATGGGAATAACAGAACAATTGCCACATTGAGTTCCCATTTGTGCATATACAAAATAGCATGGGAGCTGTTTGTCCGTGGTGCAATCCCAAACCCATGAGTACCATGACCATGTTGGGTATGGGGTCATTGCTTTGTGTCCCCAGTTTAAACTAAGATAGCAAAATGCTTCAGTTGCCTGCCTTGTCTAGTCATCGGGGTGCAGCAAGCTAGTTCTATGTACCGTATTTTTCGCTCTATTGGACGCAGTTTTTCCTCTCCAAAAATTGAGGGGAAATGTGTGTGCGTCCTATAGAGCGAATGCAGGCTTGTGCCATAGCCGCGCGCAACCCCTCCGGCAGGGAGAGGCTGCACGGGGCTATGGCTTCTTTAGCCCTGCACAGCGTCTCCCGGCAAGGAGAGGCTGCACGGGGCTAAAGGGGAAGCCAAAACAGCGAGCGGGATGGATCCCGCTCGCTGCCTTGCCTTCTTCCATAGCTGCGCGCAACCCCTCGGGCAAGGAGAGGCTGCACGGGGCTATGGATTCTTTAGCCTCACGCAGCCTCTCCCAGGAGGTAGAGGCTGCATGGGGCTAAAGGGGAAGCCAAAACAGCGAGCGGGATCCATCCCACTCGCTGCCTTGCCTTCTTCCATAGCTGCGCGCAACCCCTCCGGCAAGGAGAGGCTGCACGGGGCTAAAGGGGAAGCCAAAACAGCGAGCGGGATCCATCCCACTCGCTGCCTTGCCTTCTTCCATAGCTGCGCGCAACCCCTCCGGCAAGGAGAGGCTGCACGGGGCTAAAGGGGAAGCCAAAACAGCGAGCGGGATCCATCCCACTCGCTGCCTTGCCTTCTTCCATAGCTGCGCGCAACCCCTCCGGCAAGGAGAGGCTGCACGGGGCTATGGCTTCTTTAGCCCCACGCAGCCTCTCCCGGCAAGGAGAGGCTGCACGGGGCTAAAGGGGAAGCCAAAACAGCGAGCGGGATCCATCCCACTCGCTGCCTTGCCTTCTTCCATAGCTGCGCGCAACCCCTCCGGCAAGGAGAGGCTGCACGGGGCTAAAGGGGAAGCCAAAACAGCGAGCGGGATCCATCCCACTCGCTGCCTTGCCTTCTTCCATAGCTGCGCGCAACCCCTCCGGCAAGGAGAGGCTGCACGGGGCTAAAGGGGAAGCCAAAACAGTGAGTGGGATCCATCCCACTCGCTGCCTTGCCTTCTTTCATAGCTGCGCGCAACCCCTCCGCAAGGAGAGGCTGCACGGGGCTATGGCTTCTTTAGCCCCACGCAGCCTCTCCCGGCAAGGAGAGGCTGCGCGGGGCTAAAGGGGAAGCCAAAACAGCGAGCGGGATCCATCCCGCTTGCTGCCTTGCCTTCTTCCATAGCTGTGCGCAACCCCTCTGGCAGGGAGAGGTTGTGTGCAGCCTGTACGCTGCTCTTTGGGGCTGGGGGGGAAAAATATTTTTTTCCTTGATTTCCCCCCCTAAAAACTGGGTGCGCCCTATGGTCCGGTGCGCCCTATGGTGCGAAAAATACGGTATATTCCCATTCTGTTTTTGTGATTTCACTTGAAAGAAGGGATGCATTGGGGCATAACCTGTGACTGGGTGCGGAGGTAACCAGGTGTGGGCTTTTGTGTGGAACAACTGTGAGCTCAGCTCAGTTCTGGTATCAAAACAAATTCCTGGGTTCATAATTTTTTTTTATTCTAAGTGTATCTATTCTGCACCTGGCTCCTGCTGGTGGATGTTAAAATTCTAGTTAAAAAACAAAGGAAATGCCTCAAGCCTGACGTCTGCTCTTCCCTGGGATATAAAATATCAAGACAGCTGCTTGTGGGAAGAACTGTGTGTCAAGAGAAACTGTGTCCTCCTGATCCAGACATTGCTATTTACTCTGCTCCTGAAACAACTACCAAATCAGAAGAGTCTGGGAATGGGGGGAGAAATTCACTTCAGTTCCCATTCAGGGGTGAATCTACCTAATTCAGTTTCTGAACCCAAAACCTAACCAGCCTACAAAATTCACACCATGTTGTTGCTGTCATTGTTGACTAACTGGAAATCACAAATCCATTTACCTCAGATCACTTAAATTGGCAAATGGGGGCAGGAGAGGATGTCCACAGGCAAATGCCACAGGGTAAATTTGCTTATCTATGCCATGAAGTATATGGAAAAACAGTCCTACTGCACTAACATTAGTAAGACCCACTCTGAAGGAACACCATTCTTGCAACAGGGGATATCCTGCCAAAAGCAATCCTCTTATAGATTTGGCTAAGCCACAATTTCCCTTCATGTAGCCGAGCAGCTTTCTGTTTAGAACAAATCAAAATCTTATCTCAGCAGTGCATATCTACAAGTTTAGCAAAAAGGCTTTCCATGATTACCTCTAAAGTAGTCTTCCTCCAGCATTATCTTCATTTTAGCATCTGTGCAAGGCACGATTATAGCGGGGAATGGGTTTTTGCAAGTAGGCAAGAATCCAATCGGATAACTGCTTCCAAAACTAAACTTTATTAATGCATAAACATACGACCAAGTGGTTTTCAGGAAGCTTTGGGGTTGAAAGGCTGAATCAAACTGAAGAATTTTTGGTTTTGCTGTAGGAAAGCACCATCTTAACACAGTAAACACAGGAAAGTTGACTTGCAGTTAAATGAGCAAGACCACTGGAAAATTGTTTTAATACACACAGATTAGAAAACTTAAAACTGTTTGGATGGAAAATAAGAAAGGAATTAAAGGAATCGGGTAGCAATTAGAAGCCAATGTTTATGTTATGTCACATCAACTTGTGCTGTATTATATCAAAGTCTAAAGTGATGCCAAAATTCAAAGCAGGAAGGAAAAGCCACTCTTTTGTGTTGCTTGGGGCTAAGCTTGCATTCTCAAATCCAGATTCCAGTGTAAATCTTAACTGTGATTTCAGCTCATTCTACTACGAAAAGGAGTGGGGAAATAATAGCATTTATTAAACCCAGTCTTGAAGTTCTCACATTTAGGAGAAGTCTTTTTGGGCTGGATAGATGCCTTACACTGCTGTTGGTTGTAATCAACCACAGCTGTACTGCCAGGTGAATTCAGGTGAGTTTGCTCAATGCCCCATCACAGCAGCAATGTGTCAAGGAGAGCAGGGTGGCAGTGGTGCCTTCTTGGTGGAGGCACTGCAATTATCGGGGTGGGGGTGGGGGTGGGGGTAAGGAAGATAAGGAGGCAGTGAGGTCAGGGGAGATATGGGTTGGCATCATCATTTTCCTGCACATTCACATATACTTTTAGGATGTCACTATGCCACCAACACAGAGGTCCTCCAATTTTGCTGTTGTCTTGTTCCATCTGTCCTGATGAATGCAACATCTCCTCTGTTGAGAAGGCACTGCTACTTCTGCCGCTGCTCCGTCCCCATCCTTCCATCCCCCATCATGCACTGCTGCTATTCCATCAGGCTGAAAAAGACTGGGAGATGGAGAGCAATGCCATTCCGCTGGCTCTGCTGAGAAACCAGCTCCTTTTGGCTCCTCCTCGCCCTCTAACTTTGAGAATCGGTGCTGTTGTTTGCTTGTTTTCCTCTTCCTATATCATCCCAAAGCCATTTTGACTTTGGTGTCATGCCTTTTAGATTGATTTTATGGTGAAAGAGCAGGGCAAAAATGCTTTAAAACAATAAATGAAATAAACAGAGGAAGTGCAGCAGCAGTACTCAGTGGATCACAACGGGTTTTCATCTTTCTTTTGAGTGAAGCTGAGCCAAAATGCACCCCCTGCTTTAATTTCAGTGATTTTTCAGGGAGGAAAACTGAGGCCTTCCCAGAAGTGTTTCTCTCGGTGGCTGACAGAGTGTCAACAAGAGGTTGTGTGTTGGGGGCCACCAGGGGGCGCATTGGAAGATGGCCGACAATAACATCTCTCCGACCCACACGAGGTAATTAAGAGGCTGCTATGGGAAGTATGCAGCCTTCCTTGCCCCCCCAAGGGGATAGAGGGGACTGCCTTGCCAGCGGTGTCCATAATTCACCCCCAGATTCGAAAGAAGGGGGTGTGGACACTTGGCACAAGCCCTCAAGTGAAGTCGGCTCTTCCTGACGCTATCTCCAATCAGCGCACTGGTTCGCATTAGCTCGAAATATATAATTGGAAACTTATAATTGGAAAGAAGCTAATGCACATACATCACGTGAAGATCGGGAGTAAAGACTGCTGAATAATGTGATCTCTGTGAGCGGAGCAACGGGCGGGACAATAAATCAAGTGAAGAATCATCATCAAAAGACTGGTATGTTGGAGTTAAACGGAACGAGGGGGGAGGAAAAACTTTTCTTTTTTTGCCTTATGTGAGTACCAATAATCCTCCCCTCTAGAGAGAAGAAACATTGTCATTACTAATCACAAGCAGGAGACTAAGAACTGTGTGGGAAATATTTATTGACTAAAGAAAGGACTGGTGGATGGAAGGAAAGTTTTATGACGCAGTTATAAATGGAATTTCGTGAAGACAGGCTTGCCTAAGGAGGACGAGAGCACGAGAGGGAGGAGGACCAGGGTCATTGGAATGTGAATGTATGGTTATCGGAATGTTATCTTGACCTGGCAGAACCCTCTGAATTATAGATTGGCAGGCCTGTGAATCAGCGGACAGCGGACAGACTGTGGGAATGTTTCTAACGGAGGTGTGGAAATGGCGTCTGTCCTTTATGTGATATGACTTTTGGAGAGTGTAAAACCCACGCAAGAGATGTTTGTCTTTCACCCGCTTGTGAAGATTATCAGAGATCATAAAGAAAGGAATATATGATAACAACAAGAAGATGAAGAAAATAATAAAAAGACTATCTGGACAGAACTGGATAGAACTGTTTAATCAAAGCAGCAGCAGGAGTGGTGTTTGGTCCCCTTTCGGAGCTTGGAGTATGGGTACCCCCAACAAAAATTTTAAAAATCTGGCTGTATAATTTGGAATTGATGTGATTTGGAATTAATGTGATTTGATTGGCCTGTTAATAAAAAATATATTAAAAAAAACACAAGAGGTTGTGTGTGTGGCCAATTTACAAAAGGCAGAACCCAGAAGGGGGACTGGATAGGGCTCTTTTTATGACAGAACCTCTGGCTGTGGGATGCCTCCATTATGCTGCATGAAGAAGTGCAGAGCCGCTGAGATGGAGGTGGCTGCCTGCCTTTTCAGAAGTAATGGAGAAGGAGACCAGTTGGCAGTCCAGCCAGGAATCTCCAAGCACATTACCATAGTAATGTCATAGACCCACCCCCTGCCGGGAGTATCAGTTGTTATTTGCTAGTCTGTCCATAAAAGGCTAGCTCTTCAATTCTGATACATGTTGGGGGGGGGCACTGCAAATCAGGCCTTAAAACTAAACCAGTAGGACCACTCAGAAAACATTGGCATGTAGTGGACTAGCAATGACATCATCTGGATGGCTCTGTTTTTAAAAAAACAGAGTGAACAAGGGATTGCAATTCTGGACCAATATTGGTCAACAGGGCTAGAACGAAAACAACCAGAGTCAGTACAACAAAAACAATTCACCCTAATTCTTCTAAATCCACTTCAGTAAGAAGAGCAAGGCACAAGCTCTCAGTTTCATCCAGCAAAGAAGCATTAATATGAACTGGGCTTAAAAGAATGCCAGCATCACTGATGCAATAGTGAACTAGTTGAAATGGGAAACATGGAAGAAAACAGTTTCCAGTTCTGTACGTCGCAGGAATTCCATTATGGTAGCATAGCCAAATGGGAGACCAATGCAAGACATACATTTTTCACTGTCATACTTTCAGTATGGTTTGCAGTCACTCTGTGCTTGTTTATTGTTACTATTTTAAAAGAAAAGTAGTATCAGTTTGCCTTTCAGAGAATCTTTTGGGACTTGATTAGAAGATAAAACGTGTTGCTCTCCATGTAGCAGGCAAATGGGAGACCCACATATTTCTATTGTAAAAACCTGATAACTGGTGGTGGTGGTTGATACTGTTGTCATCAACACCATTTTTAGCCTGTCTTTCTGTCTGTAAGAAGTTTAGAATAATAATAAACAGTAAACTCTCAATAGCTAACACAAGAAAAATCAACGTTTATTTTTTAAAAAACCCACCCAAATCAATAAAAAGTATAAAAGATACAGCCAGATGAAAGCAGTGAACAGCACCCTTCAAAAGCCTGCTGAAACAAAACAGCTTTGCTTACAGACCAGCAGTGATATAACCATGTGGACTTAAATGGGGAGGGTATTCCACAAAGTAGACACCATTACCAGAAAGCCCCCTGCCCATTCTGGGTTCTTTGGCAACATCATTGGCAAAGCATAAACTTTCAGATGGGCTCCAATACTTGTTGCAAATTCTTCACCACTTCTGCCCAGTCATCCTAGTTGCTTCCTTGCCCATAAATGTCTGGGGAAAATAGGAAGTTTGGCCAGGCTGTTGTCAGCAGGAAAGGCCGTTTACATGATGTTATGTTAACCACTCACGTCAACCTTGTTTTAACAGGGGAGCAAGAGCTAAGACAGCCAGGAATTCCCTGAGAACACTGGAAACCTAGTGGATCCGTTGAAGGCTACCCCACACCTGCTCAGGCTGCAAGTCCCTAGTAGTCAAACTTTCAAGGGCTACTTTCTGCTCAGAACATTCTTTCGCAAAATTCGGAGCCTTGACATCACCACATCCCAGTCTGCATAAGCCCCTTCAAGGTGACGGGATATCTCTGTTCCTGCTTCGTAACTCTGCCGACCGTGAAGTAAACGCCAGTTGTCAAACACTACTATTTCACCTATAAATATGACGAAGGGTGCGTTTTAGAATACAATTAGTAGTAAACATGTATAGAGTTTTTGAAACAGGAGAAGTGAGAGACCAGGAGAAGCCCGGCCCAAGACATTTTGGCACCTGAGGTGAACCACAAAATGGTGCCTCCCTCTCTACCAGGGAAACAAGGGTGAGGGAAGATCTACATCAGGAACCGGGGGGTGGGGAGGAGGATATATATCTACATTGGGGTCTGCTGCCCCTGTGGATTCTGCCACCTGAAGTGGTTACCTTATGAGTGGGTCAATCCTGCTCATAGCTGACAATGTTTTGTGTTAGTGAAGCCCCATCAAGGCATTTTTTTTAATGGATGTGGCAATGCATATATAAATAATACAAATTTATTGGTTTTTATTGCACTAGCCAAATAACATCCAAAGAAGGAAAAGAAAGGGGAACACACACACACACACACACACACATCGCTACATAGCTAGAGAGGAATGACAATAAAGTTTTGAGCAGACCCAAGAGTAGGAATGTTGGAGAAATTCAGTGCAGTTTACATTTTTAAGGTGAATTTTCCCATTTCATGAAAAAAAATGCAAATTGGAAAAAAAATCTCTCTTTCAAAATTCACGCCTAACCTATTTTTGGTATTCAATTCTCTCATCAAGAGAATGTGTACAAAATTGTATATATTGCGGAAAATGACATAAAAATGCAAGAGAAATTCCTTGCAAAAAATGTACGTAAGTCAAAATTGCATGCAATGTGTATATTAGGAGAAATATGCACTAAAATGCTGGTGAATTTTTTTTTTTAATTGCAACCTATTGAGGAAATGCAATGAAATGTATTTAAGACTTTAAAAAAAAATGGGAAGCTGAGAGAAACCACAAGTGGCAGATTCTTCACTCCTGCATAAGAAAATTGCTATTCTTGCTACTGAAAGCATTTTGGCTCATTATGCAGTTACTTTACTTACCTGGTTTCATTTTGTAGATGCATTTATTATCCTTGCTGTTTAATAAATCAACATAGTCCTTGAGAGCAGCATAAAATGGTTTTACTTTCTCAGCAGGTATATCAAATACTGTGTCTCTGGTTGCATTGTTGAAGTTGATACGAACCACTTCACCTTTCTCATCCACACTGTTGAGATATATACATAGGGAGAAAAATGTGCTGTCCTGAAACTATTTCAACAGGTTTGGTGTAAGAAAACATAATTTGTATGTTATTTGAAATTGTTTCATCTTATAAGGCTCCCATAGCAGCAGTTCTTCACTACCATGCAGTGCTTTACTAAGGGTTATGGTAACAAAAAGCAGAATTAAAGATATAAAGATAAATTTCTCTCCCCCCCCCCCGCAACTCTCCCCACCAAAGTGTATTACAACTTAATACATCTAATAGTACAGACTTTTCTTTGAAAAAGCTGTTGTTTTTTTCTTGTCCACAAGATGGCAAGCTCACTTTTTGTTACTGAAATGGTTCAAAATGATAACTGTTGCCTGTAATTCAAGATTAAACAGCTAGGCAGTGCCATCAGTACAGGATGATATTGGTACGGTATAATCAGATGCTTCTTTGTTACTTACTCTATAATTTTTTGTTTGGACTGCATGGAGAAATCGCAGTAATCAACTCCAATATCTGTGAAGTCCACGTAGGTGGAGGTCAGGATTTGGAAGGCTTGAGGGTTTTGCTCCTTAAGCTTGTTTGCTACATGAAATCCATCCACAACTTCACTTTCTCCCCCAGTAGAAGTCTGTTTTATACAATGGAGTAACTGAATCTGTAACAAATTAATGCCACGTTATAACAGGCACCGATCTAGAAATGTCCCCTTTCATAGTCATCAGTTTATTGTTGTGGACTACATTTTTATTTTAAAAAATCATTTCAACTCTGAATTAGCTTTGCTTTTACCTATTGCAAACACAACCTAGGCCTTCAGGATGGGCTGGACTTGATTTTTTTTAAATTGAAAAAGGTTCTGACTCAGTACAGCTTTACTCCTGTTTTCTACCAGTATTGCTCCAGGGGCAAATGGTTATAATACTTAAAATGAAATCTGGATCAGGCCTAGATCATCCATCATATGCACAGATAAGTATATGCCATCACTTTATCTCTCTTTCCTGGCAGGAGAGATGCCATTTCAGTGCAAACACAAAAACAAAAACAAAGCTGGCTAATAAGGGCCTGCTGATCAATAGCCATTATACAGCTGCTTGATTCGATTTTTGCAATTGCTCCTGAAAAATGTGGGGGCAATTGTATTCAGGTAGTTGCAATTACTCTAATTAAAACTAAGACACTGAGTATGTTTATGGTGCAAAAATTATGGGGAGCTTTATTAAAGACTCTTAAGTTTAATCATACTGTAAAACATCGGGTTAAGTGAATATAAAACTGCCTAAGCACTGATTTCTGCTTACTTGATGTTCCTACAGGTAAGACTACTAATCACCTTTATCTGCAAGACTGTGGAAGGAAATCAGTGCTGTCTGCCCATGACTGTGGCAGTAGCAGTAAGGAGTAGGACTGACTAATGACTGTGTGTCAGCTATCATGCCTTCAATCCTTTCAAACCAGCAGGGATAGAACCCAGACCTGTCCAAATTTGGAGCTTTCCTGGAGTCCCCATTATTTACTAAAGTGGGGCATGGTATAGGAGGAAGGGGTCCAGAGGTAACAGAGCCTCTGTTTGGTTAAGCCATGGAAAATGGAGTTCCATTTAGGTACTACTGTGAGAATGCACAGCAGCATCCAGCGACATGGGAAAAGTAGAGCTACGTTTCCCATTGTTCCTAGTGGCCATGCTCACTACTGCTTTCCTTGTGGCAAGGAGTTCCATGGGTGTGCTTTCCTCAAGAACTGACCTTAGCTCTCGAGATATTGTGACTCAGCCTTTTGGGCAGAACTTGCTGATCCAGAGACTCTAAGTCAAGAAGGTTTTAAAAAATATATTTTCCTCCTTCTGAGCCCACCCCACTGTAATCACCTTCTGTAAATTCTTCTCCAGTTCTGACTTCACACTCAGCCTGTACTTTATTCCTCCTCCAGCTGCCAGTTTCTTTCATCCCTCCTCCCTATTCCTTTTACATTCACTTCTTCCCCCTATAACTGCTTTCCTTTCTTACCTCTTTCCTTTTGATACCCAGTTTATTGATTTATAACATAATTATTTTACTAATACCAATGAATGGTCAATATCTATTACATTACGTCACTTTCTAATTTCCTTCAGCACTTTCTCAGGCCCTTTCTTTCTCCTCAGAGGAGGGAGACCTCCCTTCCTCCCCTCCTTCCCAACTAGCTTTACTCAGTATGCAAGGAGTTCCTGGTGCTGGCATTGGCTCAGCCAAAAAGCCAAAGTACAGCAGAACAAGGCAAGCAAGTGAGGAGGCACTGGGCAGGATGTGGCACTGAGGCCCACCTTGCAGCAGCCCAAGGTTCACTGGTGAGTCTCGGCCCACCATCCGAAAAAGACTGTTGTGAAGGTGGGGTGGGAGAAAACAATATTTTTGGAGTCACTTTTTCCTACTCTTTGCAAAACATTTTGGCAACATTTCAGATAGCATCGTAAAATTAGGCAGACTGAGAGAGCGTGTAGACGGCAGATTGCTTCCAAAAATGAAAAAAAAAGACAAAACAAAACACCATTTCTGTTTCCTAAAAGTATTTCTGAATTGAAAAAAGATTGTGGCTAACATCATATGGCAGTGTGTGATTCTTGGCACATGAGACAGTGAGCTAAGCTTCTCACATGAGGGATACCCCTCTGTTTCCACGCCATACCCGCTTGTACAGCATTGAAATGAATTTTCAAGGTAGCGCAGTGAAAGATCTGGCACCTCTTTAGAAGCACATGATGCTGGCCTGCTCCATTCATTAATAACATGATTGCTACAAATCGTCTGAGGGCCTTGAGCAAAAGTTTCCGACAGCATCTGTGGTCTGCACATTAATCTCCCGCCTGTGCTAATGCAGACAGAAAGGCAGAGCTTTTGTCACCATGTCATAAGTTCAGTAGGTTATTCAAGCACTGGACAGACATGTTTTTCCATGTTCTCCACTGAAATGCCTTTGCTTCTTGACAAATGGATGCCTTCTTGTGGGCAAGGGAATTTGAAGGCTGTCCTGCCCCCACTGCACATTTCTCAAAGCTACAGGTGAATGCCGAGTAGCCTTTGATTTAGGAGAGTTGCTTTGTCTACATGAGCCTTCCACAACCTGGTGCCGTCCAGATGTTTTGGAGTTTAACTCTCTTTTTTATATATATAATTTTTTTTATTAATTTTAACATATTAATTAGAATACATACAACCAAACTTCACTTCTTATACAATCTTTTTGGACTTCCATCAGCACTTCTGATGATCCACCATTCTTATCACATCTTCTGCATTTCTTAAATTCATATTGGAGTTTAACTCTCATCAGATCCCCTGGGGGACACCAGGTTGTGAAAGATTGGTCTACACCAGTGTTTCCCAAACTTGGGTCTCCAGCTGTTTTTGGACTACAGCTCAAATCATCCCTAGCTAGCATGACCAGTGATCAGGGATGATGGGAATTGTAGTACCAAAACAGCTGGAGACCCAAGTTTGGGGAACACTGGTCTCTACACAGAGAACTTAATGGAATTAGTATAAGCTCCACCAGAAGGTGTATTCACACTTTTCAGTTTGCACTTCTGCAGACTTATTGGCAATCAACAGGGGATTATAAGACTCTGTTGGATGTTGATTGTATGCAGTTGGCATGTGGCTGTAGGACCTGGTTAAGGTCACGTGAGACCACTTTAAAGATCTCTCACTTTTTCCTAGTAGGAAAGCGGTGTTCAGTGATGTAGGTGCTTGTTCCTCTGAAAACGTCTCTGAAAACGGTCACAGAGCTCCATCTTCTTCTCAATCCTGTTCCAACATAGATACAGGACTACTGGCTTAGACCATATGAAGATTCAGCTGTTGAAAAGATCTTGTAGTTGTTGCTATTGTGCAATTAATACTGTCCTTGTTTTATTTACAGATGTCTCCCCATCTCTCGCAGTTTGTAAAATCTACCACCCACTATGGCATCAAAACACCAATAATACAAAGCTGAATCATATTTTTTTTTTAGAATCTAAACTTCTGTTTTCTGAGGTTCTCATGGGTAGCCAACATAGTGACCTCCAGATGCTGGTGGACTACAGTTTTCATAAGCCCAGCAAAAATGGCCAATGCTCAGGGATGATAAGAGTTTTAGTCCCTCAACATCTGGGGGCCTCATGCTGTCTGCCCCTCTTGTAGATTGTTGAGACCCAACTGAAGCTGAATCCAGAAAGAATAACATAATGGGTGACAGGTTGTATGACGAACTGGTGGGATGGAATAGCATCTGGAAATAAACTTTGGTCACTGAGAATAAGGGAGCAGCAGCTTGATCAATAGCTAAGTGATCTTTTCAACAACTAAATTCTGCCTGAGCTTACAAGATAATGTTAGGTAGAAAAGTAAATAAAAAACATGGACAAACACAGGTTTCAGATAAGATGGTTTTCTCCTTGCCTCACTAGACAGCAACACTGCATGTAGGAACATTGCTTCCTCTTACCCCAGGTGGAAACTGAAGAACAGGGTAATCAGTATGAAAACTCAGCTTCTCAGTTGTGTAAGCCACATTGTTCGCGTCCGCTTTGTCTTGAACTTGCCATGTGGGCCTTTATAATGAACAAGAAAGGAAAAACAGAGTGGTTGGAGAAAAATGTAATAATCTACCTGTAAATCTGGCTACTTAAAAAAATTGGCGGGTCATAAAATATGAGTCATCATTTTTATGAGATGACTATTTTAGAACAACCAGGAGAAGAGGGGAAAGGGTTAAAGCTCTCTTCCCTGCTAGCTATAATCTTGATAATTACCACTTCCCCAGCAGCTCCCATTTGCATTTACGCATTTAATGTCATGGTTAGAAGAGACATTCCTCAGTCTCTCTTGCATAGAAGGGAATACTTTTTAACATCACACTTGTCGATATGCTGTTTCTGGAAGTACTTATAAATTCATTTTCATTAAGCGGTTAAAACTGTTTGATCAATCTAATCAATTGATTGTCTAAACACCAAAGCTCTAAGCATTATAAGCGCTCACTTGGAGTGTCTAGATGCCCTGCATTTTTCAGTGAAATTTAAGTTTTGATATTGCTTGGGACATCAAAGGGCTTCTTTACAAAACTTGCCTTTCAAAATAAAACAAATGCGGCAATCATAAATATTGAGCTATATACACATCTCATTCGTTCCCCTTCGAAGTTAGGAGCAGGCTGCACAACTAATGCTCCCTATTTCCCTCTGCATTTCCCAAGATTAATGAACTAACATGAACAAGAAAGAGCACCTTTGCTGGCAACAGGGACAGATTATACAGGGTGAAATGGTTGAAATAAAAGGGAACATAGAAGACGACAACACATTGCAATGCAGCCAAAATATGAAGCAGAGACCAAGACTGAAAACCACATTCTCTGGTTCAAATAAACTTTGGGTGGTGGAATCCCGTCAATATCAAAAGCATAATACATAGATCAGACATTGTTCCTAAACAATGTCAATATATGCAACCCATGTCGTAGCTCATGAAAATAATTTAAAAGGAAATATTTAACATATATTTGGTGTAGAACTAATATTCAAGACATTGCCCACTGAAAACTGAGAGAGAATGTTTATTTTATATCACACCTCAACTAAATATTTATCTGTTATTATTTATCTGTTGTTATGTGTTCAAGGATTTGAGTCAGACCTAAAATCTGCAAGCAGAAATTCTAGAAAGATGTGAATGTGAATGGTAGTCACAAGACTATTTAAATGTCATGGGGAATGCCATATGATTGTATGGTACATTATGTACTCAAGAGAGTGTGAGCTCAATTCTGAAATATGACAACCTCAACCACATTTCCACCCTGCTCAATTTGTATTATGTCATCTGGGCTTGACGGTATGTTTGGCCTCTTTAATTAAAAAGGCTCCAAAACAATTCACTGGTTCCCAAGAAATTTAACCCTTGTGACTTGGTTGCTTCTGAGGAAAGCTATTTAAAGAGGGTGATAGCTTTCTTTTGTTTTGTTTAATCTGCTTGCATCCCGTGCTATTAATGCACTGGAACATTACACCCATGCTGGGGGATACAAAATCAAATGCAGCCCAGTACAAACTTGGAAGACTAACAGAGGAAGCTGTAACTAAGAGGCAAGGAACCCAAAGTAAAGATGCTTGAAGAAAAGAGGAATGAAGTAATGGAGGATACAGGAGTTGAAGGAAGAGGTTGGAGAACCCAAGGAGAAAGGAAAACTCCATATTAGAGGGCTGAATAATGCTGGTTCGTGGTGGGTGAAACAACAAGATGTAAATATGGGGGATATTTTCTTCCAAGGCAGTTGCTTTTTCTGTACCCTAATGCTACTTATCTTGGGTGCTGTAAGTCAGGATCATTTAAAGTCATCTAGTAGTGTTGTGTTAGGCATCATATGATCTCTCTCTCTCTCTCTGATGATTATTTTTCTATCTTACAGGAGTAGCTCCAACAAGAAGGTACATGAATGCATCACTTATTGTACTTTCACCCTCTTCTGCACAGAATCAACTGGCTCTCAAGATGACCAATGACAAAGTGCAATATATAATGTGTCCCATATGTTTTTAAAAAAAATACAAATAGCAGAAAGACCCACAGATATGCTTTGTTCATTGCCCTATTTGTATCATTGTTTACTACCTTTTATATATGCTTCCAGAATACATCATAGTTTATTTTTGTATCTGTGAGTCTGTTTTTTCTTGTCTAAAGATGATCAGCCAGATCTTCCTTGCAAGTATGATTTATTGTATAGCAACTTGTTTTGATTTTTGAAATTTAGGAACCCAAATCTTGGGTTTTGCTTAAGCATGCTATCAAACACAGGTCTTCAACTGGTGTTGGCCTGAAAAAAGGTGAATTGCAACAGGAGCACTGCCACTGTACAAAAGTTGTCCACGGGTCTGCTAGGCTATAAAGGCAACATTTCACAGTTTGGCTTCTATCTCTGTCCCTTTTCTTTGGCGCAGAGGGGCAAAGTCATCTCCAAGAACCAGCTTTTATTATACACACAGGCCTCTGATTTCATCATGTGTCTGGGACTCAAGTTCTCTGGCCTAACAATTACTTGTATCTAAAGTGCTTGTAAAATTTAACTACAATTCCACGGATCGGGAGGGTATGTTTTAAAATAATTTTTAATTCCCCCCCTTTGACTTTTTTTATTTTTTAAAAAGACAGTTCATTTGATCCACGTTGAAATTTGGCTGTGCTAAACTTTCCCTTTCTACAAATTTGCCAGCCTAATTAAATATGCAATTTATAGATTAGCAACTGCACAGTGGATTGTTGTTTTTGTTTAGTCATTTAGTCATGTCCGACTCTTCGTGACCCCATGGACCACAGCACGCCAGGCACTTCTGTCTTCCACTGCCTCCCGCAGTTTAGTCAAACTAATGTTCGTAGCTTCGAGAACACTGTCCAACCATCTCGTCCTCTGTCGTCCCCTTCTCCTTGTGCACTCCATCTTTCCCAGCATCAGGGTCTCTTCCAGGGAGGGATGTGCCATAGAAGAGTGCATATCCATTGTCAATGTTTGTTTAGTGGGCCACTGGGACTAATTATCTGTTCTTTTTTCATACATTCTGGAAATGGCAACATCCCAAATTTTATTTGTTGTTGTCAGTGACCAGATAATTTCAGCCTAGCAAGATGAAGGTTTTGTTTTCCTTCAGTCATTCTCTTAGTACTTGGCTGAAACATTTACTTCCTCTCTCTTCATTAGCAAGCGATGGACTAATGAGAGAGAAGGATCTCCTCCACTATTCTCAGCATCAGAGTTGGATGGCCCTATTTCCTCCATCCACACCATACTATGCTTAGCCAACCCTGCATACACCAATACAGTATTCATGTGGCCTTGTACAAAAATATTATCGGGGGAAGCAAATCATTGCTGCTTCTGGAAGGAATGTGACTCTTCTAGCCAAGCCTTAGGAGTATTTTTCTTTCTTCTGTTTATTTTAAATAGCTTCATCCATAGAAGGGAGAGACATTTGTTGTTTATCACACTGTTAACTCTCAAAAGGAGATGCTAAAAATAAGAGAGATGTTTAGCTGGAATTGTTATTATCCAAGAGGCGAAAAACATGAAAGGTATTCTTTGGCTCCCTCTCCCCGATGTTCTGGATTTTGTGTCTAAAATAGTAAAATCTTTAACTAACAGAAATGGCAAAATTACAGATGGTAACATTCAAATGTGGCATGCCTTTTCTCCTCTGCTTCCCCCCACCCCATTTACAAGTCATCAGAGAGAATCAGTCATCAGAACTGTAGATATTAATGATGGTTGTACAAGCGATTGTGTTGCAACAGGATTTGCCTTAGGATTTGTGCAACTTTTAATGCAAGCATAACTCTGCGATCATCATCTGAGGTCCTTCTTCATGTACCTACTCCACAAAAGGGCTGGAGGGTGGCAACCTGAGAATGGGGCTTTGCGGCAGTGGCTCCTCGTTTGTAGAATGCTTTCCTCAGGGAGGATGGTTTGACGCCTTTCTTATCTATCTTACAAGGGCCTGTAGATTGGCAAAAAGTAGACCATGGCAACTGAATAGGCTAGGGCAGCTGCAGAGAACCTATCGCCTTCCAGATATTACTGAACTACAACTCCCATCCTCCTGGGCCATTGGCCATGGTAACTGTGGCAGATGGGAACTGCAGTTCAGCAACATTTGGAGGGCCAAATGTTCCCCATTCCTGGCCTAGGGTCAGAAGGCCAAATGGTTGAGACTGTTAGGGATCCACAAGTCTGAATTATGAATGTCTAAATGATAACATTTTCATGTCAATCACTTTCTAGTGTGACAGAGAGCTTTCAGCTTAGGACAGTGTTTCACAAACTTTTCTCTCCGGGCCATTTTCAGAATAAAAATTTGCTCACGACCACCGAATTTCTTGATAAGATATAGATTGGAAAACAAAAATAAGTAACTTCTAGCAGTGCTTGATTTATATCATAGAACACAGCTATGTTAGAATATGATCATGGGACATCCCGAAAGTATAAATTCAGCTACATGAATTATCTGCAAACTATAATTATACATGTGTCTCTTACATGTGTACCTTAAGTATGTATACAAACTCAATGAGAGGTGTGAGCTTGCTTTTGCCAGGTAATCTCATTTATATTAGGTCTAATTTGAGACAAAATTTCATCTCCTCACCAATAAAAAGAAGCCTTTCTCTTTTCTGATCTTTCATATTTGTCAAAATTGAAAATCCCTGATCATAACAATACAACATGGAGAACTATAGAAGAATAGCCAATGCTATTGAAGAGAGGCATGGATACTTTCTGGTTGTATATACACATAAAAAACATTACTATACTATACTATACTATACTATACTATACTATACTATACTATACTATACTATACCACACTGAAATGTTTAAATGTTTCTTTGATTGTCCATGAATCTTCCTGCCAACTAATTGCACTAGTTGCTGGTTCAGTTCAGGACCAGGCCCCATTTAAAGCACTGTGCTGAACTTTAAAGCCCTAAACAGTTTGGGACCAGGTTACCTGAAGGACACATTTACCTTCAATCTTCAAGGCCCTGCTTGTATGTCCCCATTTGGGTAAGTGTAATCAGGTTGGTAGGCAAAAGGGACAGGACCTTTCTCAGTGGTGTCCCCAGGACTGTGAGACTATATTTCAGCTGAAATTTGTAATGCCTTATCTTTGCAGGCCTTTAAATGGGCCCCTAAACTAAGGTTACCAGACATCCCTGTTTCCCGGGGACAGTCCCTGAATTTACAAATCAGTCCCCTGACAAAATCCTATCATTCCTACTGAAGTTGAAAAGTGTCCCCGGATTCATTGAAAAAAAATTTGGTAACCTTACAGCCTAAACGGCCTTCTCTTAAATAAGGATTTCATTGGTTTGCTGCATAAATTTCCCTGAATTTCTGGAACTGCTATAAATTTGTGTAATTTTATCATTCTAACCGGGTTGAACGTTTTGTGATTAGATGACAGAATGGGGGAAAACAGTACACAACAGAAACTAGGATGCAAAACCTTGCATTTCCATCATCTCTGTAAAGTATCTTGCTAGAATCTGGTACCACTGATTCTATCACTATGGAGAAAAATTAATGTAAACTCATTCTGTGCCAGTGTGTTGTATACTTGAAACAACTGGCTGGAAAGCTTTTGCACCACAGAAATTTATCTGGCTGCATAACTATCACTAATGCAAAGAAAATGCTGAATTGATAGTAAAAGAATAAATTAATATCTCTCTACTCCCACCCCCTGGAGTGATGTCAAGCAGCAATATGGGTCATAAATTTGACAAGAGCAAGCATATGTAAAAGCTTTAACTTACCCATAAAATGTGAGGCGAAGGAATCCAATACGTTGCCCAAGTTTAAGCAGCTCTCCCTGTCTGCTGGCAGCTCCCGTTAAGAGCACGATCCCTGTCCTTTTAAGGGTGACCAGCCACTTGTATGCACTTTCATCACTGTGCAAGACCTCTTCAAAGGCCAGAGTTGGCAGCTGCAGATCAGAACCCCAGTACTGACGTTCTGTAGAAGCCATATTAAGAAAAGGGAATACACAAAGAAGTATTAATGATTATTACATTGTTAATGAGAAGTACTAATAATAAGTACTAATTAATGAGAAGTATTAATAAGATCTACTTATTTCAGCATTACAAACTGGAGTCTATCATCAGGACACACAGAGCTGAACAACTCCACTTAAAAGAGGACAACAAGGCAGCCAATCTTTTTTTGTACGGCTTCTGAAGGGCATCTGCATCTGCCAAAGGGGAAAACGTTCCTCATTGTTAATGTATAGGGGATACTAAGTTCAAAAAGTAAGCCCTGGGACATTTCCCAGGAAAGGACTTTGCTCTTTTACAGTGTGTACAGAATGCTGCCTATTGTATAAACAGACACAAGCTTTAAAAGCAATTCTAACAAGCCATTTGCCTCTTGCGTTATGAACCCACCCAACTAAAACCTATCCAGTCTAGCTGAAGATATTTTTTCTTTGTGTGCACAGCACTCCAAATCTGTCTTGTCTCAGATGTTTGCAAGTTGAAGGTTTTCAAGCACTAAGTTAAGAGGCAAGATGCTCCAGGTTCAGCCACTGTTACTGGAGCACGGAGAATGCAGGGGCTCAAAGAGCCTGTCTTCATGCTCTGCCTATATGCACCCCAAAGCATCTGAATTGTTACTGTTGCAGACAGGATGCTGGATTAAAAATGGACCCTTCACCTGATCAGGAAATGCTCTTTCTATGCTCACATGGAGCAAAACCCATGCACTTTCCCAGGGTTATTATTATTGTCTACTTTACTTTCAGTGTTGCATGTGATGATTCAAGACTTCCCCTGGAATTCTTGGTTTACCATCAGATGGTCTAAAACTGCTACTGGATCATGAATGGAAGAAAAGAGCCTTTACTGCAACTATCTATACAGCAGTAGCATAATGCAAGCAAAGATACACAGACCCAACAGAAGCAAACAAGCTAATTGTGAGCACAATGTGTGTGGGTGTGCCAGCACATAAGTACATACAGACCACCCAAATGACTTGACTTCATTGGAAATTTTTCTCTATAATAAATTCAGGTAGCCAAGGAAACTTGCTAAGCATCCTTTGCCAATTACTTGATTGCTAAGCAGTTAGATTATGACAGGGGAAACATATTTCCTACTGGTCTTCAGGAGAAATGAAGGACAAATTAAGACATGGCAGGGCAGTTATAGTTGCTTTAGTCACGCATTGGATGAAGATTAAGCCATTCTCCATTTACAGCGAAATCAAAGCACATGGACTCTCCCCACTCCCGTTGTGCAGTCTCCTCATGGTTTGTCAAGCCCAAACACCTCTTCTCTGATACCAGAACTGATCTTGATTGGGAGGAAAAGGCTTGCATGGCAGACTGGAGGGAAAGTATGAGGTGAGCGATTCACTCCCCTGACTTGCACTCCCACCTCCTTCTTTATACATGAATGTTATATTCCATCCATCTGTCTGGGTTTCCCCAGCCACTCTGGGCTGCTTCCAACAAAAATTAAAAATATATTAAAACATCAGTCATTAAAAACTTCCCTAAACAGGGCTGCCTTCAGATGTCTTCAAACGATGGGAGGGCCTTCCACAGGGCAGGCGCCACTACCAAAAAGGCCCTCTGCCTGGTTCCCTGTAACTTCGCTTTTCACAGTGAGGAACCTCCTGAAGGCCCTCAGCGCTGGACCTCAATGTCCAGGGAGGATGATGGGGGTGGAGATGCTCCTTCAGGTATACTGGGCTGAGGTTGTTTAGGGCTTAAAAGGTCAGCACCAGCACTCTGAATTGTGCTTGGAAATGTACTGGGAGCCAATGTAGGTCTTTCAAGACCATTTAATTTAACTATTATGGCTGTCCCTAGGGCAAATGCTGATTGGCCCAGGATCCCCCACGTACATGGAAAAGCTCTATGAGCATACATCAGAATGCATATAGACCTCTCTTTTGCAATTACTGAATATGTATCAGGCGGGGAGTGTGGCACATAACCAGGCTTATGAACACTTGCCCTGTCATATCGTGCAAAATAATAAGGATGAAAATGGTGTCTTCTGCTTCTTGTAAAAGTAAAAAAAAATTATTGAGTTAAACTAGTTGAAGCAGATGAAAGACTAAGGAAAAGGAAATTAATTAAAACAACCCCACTATTCATGGAAATTTCCCAAAGGATCATCTCAGAGCTGGTCACTGAAAAGATGATCCACAATGAAAAAAATGTGTTTCAAGGATGTAGGAAACTACCCTGGATTATTAAGAAAGAAAAGAAAAAACCCTTAAATGACAATGGCTGTCACTTTTGAAATAGCTATTCCAAGCCGCCATGTGGAAAAGCTAATGGAAGGCTCTTAGAACCATCTGCTTAAAATTGCTTAAAAGCAGAACCTTTCTAATCACAAAATTAATAATTATCCCCTGGTAAAAAGCAGAGTTAGCACTGCACATACGAACACCTTGTGGAATATTATCTGCTTGTTATCATCACTCTCCTCTTGCCAAGCCAAATAAGATTAAATAATTAAGGATATTCTGTGAGTTCCTTCAATTAAACAACAAATAAAGACATCATTTAACATTCTAACTGCTACTGAGAAGTTACAGTTTGTGAGAACTCAGAGTGGTGGTTCGTAACCTACTGTGAATGGCTCCTCCCACTCCCTACTCCAGCTCCTACCCCTTGCTCAGGGGCAGGGGCGCCAACTTGAATAAAATATGGGGAGGGGCAGGCAAGGCCTGCCCTGCACAATCAATCGCAAGATGTGGTGCACACATACCATTTGAATGGCAAAATCCATCAACTTGGGTAGGAGGGCTCAAATATTTTATGGGGGGTGGCAAAGGGACCTTGGCCCCTAGGAGTTGACTCCTAAGCTCTGGGGGCAAGGGACCTTCTCTCAGCCCTTTGCCTGCCCTGGGATCTTCCCCAAACTCAGACCCAACAGCCCTCAATGCACTCAAACCACCTCCTTGGAACCTCAATCCAGTTCTCTGCCCTGCTTGCATGTTCAGAAGACAACCTACAGACAAGTGGAAAATCCACAGCTGAACTACGTGGCTGGACCTTTTCTGCAGAACATTCCTAAATCTACAAATGCTGTGGCAGAAGAAAATGGTCTCCGGTTCAATTATTAAACGTAGCTATTAAATCCAAGTTCTGTTTGGGAAAACAGACCAGCAGCAATAACTCTGCAGGCGTTGTTCGAGCCCACCATAAACTTAAAAGTGGTGGGTACTCAAGATTTTAAAGTTAACTTGGTTATTTATTTCACATGCTGTTTCTTGTGGCAGGTATGCATCTCAGTGTAGTCAGCAAAAGCTGCCCTGAGCAGACGACTGCAAGTAGTAAGAACAATTTTCTCCATTTGCAAGGTTTGCACTTTCCAACCACAGCTAGCATGTCTGATTCCTCTGGCTTAAGCCTGTTAGAGGGAGAGTCCAAGAAACACAACGCACACATCCTAATGTAAACCATCCACACAAACCATCTTTCTATCTGACTTTGTGTTTCTAAGAAGCTGCGGCATGACTGACAAGTTGCTGATTTCCCCCAAAATATTCCTAAAATGAAGAAAACACAGTGTGGTCCTTGAGGAGAAATGTAATCACACCTTATTAAATTCCTTAGCAAATCTGCTCCAACACACATTTTGCTTAGTGCTGGACTCAATAAACCGTGGTTGCTTCATTATAAACAAAGAATGGCTCTTCATGAGGGGAACGGAAAGTTGCTTCACAGATTAAGCCACTCTGACAGTAATAATTAAATTACAAAGCAAATCCAATAAAAGATAAATGTGTTTGCCTGATGCATAAGTCCTGTGAAAATTGATGGGTTCCACTGTATGCTTTATTTTCCAGTTTTTCTTGTCTTCCCTTATTTATTTGATTTGGCTCCTGAGGTCCCAGGAGCAGAACCCCATTCACTGGGATGCTTCCGCTGGTGGGACGGGAAATTATTTTCATAGATTCCACCTTCTCCCTACAGTTGCTGGAAGACTTACTCCAGAGCACTTGAGGACCCTCCAGAAGAGCGTGTGTGGCTACAGGGAAAAGAGGAATGAGTGAAAATCACCTCCTTTCTCCTTCCATGAGATGGAGTCTTAGCTGGATCAAAGTCTCTTCCACAAAGCCATTGTAACAAGGAGAGTTGGTTAGGCTTAGATCTGTAGTCCTCTCCACTACTGACAACGGGCCAGCCCAATACATTTTGTGGCCTGAGGTGAAGGACAAGATGGCCTCTTCTTCTAATCCATGTACGGAAGCTGACAACTGGTAGCTGAATATTACTTTAACACCGACAACAGGTTAGCTTCCATTCTCTGCACCCGAGGGTAGCAGGCTAGTTTAGAGATGGCAGGCCTGGCTATATGGCACAGACAGCTCCGTCTTTCAACACCTCACCTTACTACTATGACCACCACCACTCTTGGGTAAAGTTGTATTCATTTTCTTGGCCATTCTTTGTTTGCAAGCGCTCTACAAAATGAAAAATTACTACCTGGAAATGAGGGAAGAAGTGGTTACACCATTATGTCCATTATGACATTTCTAACACTCATGTATTATTGCTTAGAATGTTTCTATAAAAGGGGGCATAGTTTTCTTGCCTGGTGACTGAAAGGCTTCCACACTGAGCACTGACTGTGATATACCAGGCTTTGTTCACTCATTTTTAACAGGGAATCTGCATGTGTTTCTCCTCCATTTTTCCAGACTTCAGAAAATCCAACTTCATTTTTTAACTCTATGATCCCAAGTGTTGATGACCTTTTGCACTGTCATTCTGGCCTGTATTGATTCCTCTAGCCATTTTCTTCTTGGTTAACTGTTTTTCCTCTTGAGGAACCTTTAGTCATTCCTTTTCCAAATAGCATTATTTTTGTATCCGCTTCATTTTTTTCTGCCCCACTCCCAGTGGCAGTGCCGGCATAACCATCACAGAAAGTGCATTGAAAGAAGATTGCAGAACAAAATTATATCATCCCCTCCAAAAAAGCAACAGCAGTTGGGGCTGGAGAAAGGGGACTGTCCATTTGGCTGCAAAGTGTTAGATGTCAGGAAACAGACTTACAATTCCACTTCCAGATTAAAGCAGAACAGTGATGACTGGAGGCTGCTAAATGGGTGCACATCTTGAACAAACATCAACAACAATAAAAATCATAATAGTTGAATCTGCAGCTATTTTCCAACAGCAGAGAAGAATAAAAAACGCAGCTCACATAAACATCTATTGTAGCTAGCCTAAACAAAATGTCTCAACAGCATGCCTCAATGGGCCAAGCGCTTCAAAATCTGGCAAATGACAAATGTTAACCAATTCCATAGATACAGGCTGAATGCAACAGAAAGTCATGATAGCACCTGAGTGGCTGACAGGGTTCATAGGAACATAAGAATTCTGCAGATATTCTTCTAGAGAATGGAAATTCACCATCCAGCATGGAAAGCGTTAAAGATGATTATCTTTCAGATTTACAAACACTTTTATTGAAAATAACTCAGCAAATACCAGGTCAAAGCAGTATGTACAACATGCCTTTCCCTAAAATGTTGAAATAACTGGCTGTCCAAAAGAATAGCTTTGTCCCACACAACACTATATGAGATGCAACAATAAAGTGTTTTCTAAAATGCTTAAATGCTGGAAAAACAGCATTTGTGCCTAGCTATGCACCATTCTGCCATAGGGCTTTTCTAAATGACAGACTGGATTTGACTTTACCCTTCAAACTGTTGCCAAATCATTAATATTTAAAAAGTTTATTATCTGCAATGAAATTAAAGAATTTACAAAAAACGAAGTCCTTATGTATGTATATGCATAGTTAATAAATACATTTGAAAGGTAATAAATAAATATATAACTTTACACTAAATGTAAACTAACAGATAAACATATCATTATACGCACATTACGATATATCCTCAATAAAGTGTATGGCTTTAATGAATCCTGTGTCATACTGTTTCAATATTGAATAAATAAGCTTCATTTTTCAATAAACTTTTTGTCTTTTTGTCTTCCTTCTCTTATCCAGTTTCACCATATAAAGCATATCTCATACTCTAATCAGCCACAAGTCAATAGATGGTGAAGCAGAGTATTTAAACAGATGCCAGATTAAAAGGGCATTCCGTCTTCTGTCGCCAAGAAAGATTTCTGGAATATGGTTTGCATTCGCAAAGAAACACACAATTATGTTAGCTTTGTTCTGCAGATTTGCCTAACAAGTGGAAAATAGTGTCACATAAATATGCAGTCACCACTTATTATTGTTCTGATAATTTTTGTTTCTGTTAACTTATGAAGCATCTAATAACTGGCACAACCCAAGGGCTGTGTCAACTCAGCTTACACTTTGCTTTTTAATTCCCCCCCCCCCAAAGATTGCTATTCTAATCCTGATTATTACCCTCTCCCATACTCAAACAGACCTGTCTATCCATCAGCCTGTGGAATTTGATCTCAACAATTTTCCTTCCTTCAATGAAGAGAGCACATTATTCCATTAAAAAAAAAAATCAAGAGTAGCTGCAGCTTGAAAATCTATTAAGCAGCAGCTCTAAACAGGGACTGTGTTCCATGCCAGCGTTCCCTGCTGGTAAACCACCCCATTCACATTATTCATTATTCTACCATTTCATCATGGTACATATATTGTTTCCACTACTTAACCACAATCAGTAGAATTTCCACGTTGCTACTGTAGCACAGGGTTGAAGGTTACAAATTGTGGCAATGGAGTTGCTCAGAAATGCTAAAAAGACAGGCCAGGAATGCTCTGACAATCTTACTTCTCACATCCAAAGCAGCCTTCAAATTGTTGCAGTGGGGAAAAACCTGTTTATTTTTCATACAATTTGCAGGAAACTTTAATAGCTTAGATTTCAGAAGGAAGTCCAATAGTGCTCATTCATGCCTTCAAAATTATTTTTTTTACCACTGCTGATGAAAAACAGATCTATGTGCTATGAAGAAAAGGAACACACACTTTCCAGGAGACTGCATGGACCATAGACTTATCAATGAGCTATAACCGCTTTTCACATTTCTCAAGAATGTGTCATTCATTAGATGGACTGATAATATCAAGGTTTTCCCCTCTGGACACTATCAGCTTGATACTGATTGAAGTAGACATGCGAAGACTAGCATATTAAGCAGAAAAACTCTTTTACCCAGTAGTCTAACCATTAAAAAAAGAGAATGTATTGGGAGTTTTTCATATGAGGAGTGCATTCAGACATTTGATTCTCCCACTCTATTATCTTTTTAGATGCCTTTACATTCTCCGAGTATCATATGTATGCAGTACAGACGGTATAGACACAATATACTGTAACTTTCTTTCTATGTTTATGTAAGCGGACAAAATTCAGTGTTGTAAGGCTGGAGAGGAAGGGCCCCGTGACTCCCAAGAGACAAGAAGTGTTTGGTTCTCTCCATCTTACCCAAAAAAAAAAAAAAATCTCCCTTGAACTACATAATTCAAGCTTCCATCTGTGTATAAAGTCAGAGCAAAATTCCAAAAAGCTGATCCCTTTCAGCAACGATTTCCTTTCCTGGAACTCATTTCAAGAACATTGTGCTAATGCACAGGCTAACAGAGGCAGTTTATATTATTCAATTAAAACATTTATGAGCAGTTTTCTTCATCTCTTTCAGGAGAAATCCAGATTTCTGAATTGTGAACAGCTCTGCCTGGGGAACAAAATAGCTCCTGTGTTATGTATTTTCTCTGAGTCCTCCCCACCCCCATCTTTTGAGGATTGAGCAAAACAAGAATGCAGAACTGCCTCCAAATAACAGCATGGGATCTGTTTACTAATTGGAGCATAATTCTGCGTAATGTGTGTGCACGCTGCCCAGAGCAGCAGCCTTGAACTTTTCTGAGAAATTTGCTTATTTCCAGTACTAACACTATTTTATGTAGTCTGCCTAGAGGTTTTCGTTGATTAAGTGATATATAAACCGTGTTACATTCATATAATGATGACATCCTAACCAACTCTCTGTGTATAATAAAGTGCACAATGCAGTCCCTTGGTTAAATACTAGATGAAAAAGATAGGAGGAATGATCAAGTTAGATAAAATATGTGACGCCCTTTATCACTGATATATAAAATTCTGTTGTTATTAAAAATGGATTCCAGATCAATTGAGAATGGGGTTTCCTTAGTGCATTTACTACAGAAATGGTACGAATCTCTACCTGATAGAAATAATTCTTCCTGCATTTTTGCTCTTGCTTGTTCAGAAAAACATCTCTTCTTCAACCATTCAGCCTCAAATTCACTGGTGTGGTCATCTGGCCATACAATGCATACCTTAGTCCACAAAACAGAAAGAGACATACAGTGAAAGCAGACCAGAATAATCCAACAAGCATTTTATTTGCTTTGCTGTTTTTTCTTCTTTGTTTTGTTGGATTGGACTTCTAACTCATAATGAAAGCAACTGGCATGTGGTCTTGTTATGTGTGTGCAATCCTACACATGTTTAATTGGAAGGTGGTTCCATTAATTTAGCAGGCCTTTCTCCCTAGTAAGTGTGCTTAGGATTGCGGCCTAATAACCTCTTTCACTCTGAAGAGTTTGTATAGTGCAATGCTATGCATGCTTATTCAAAACTAAGTCCCACTGTGTTCAGTGAGGCTTATTCCCAGGTAAGCAGCATTAAATCACTGCAACAAAATGGTTCTACATATGGAGATTAATATATTATATGAAAACAGCTTCTCTCTCTCTCTCTCTCTCTCTCTCTCTCTCACACACACACACACACACACATATATTACCTTTTTCTCCCTCTGTGCCAAAGTGACATTCTTGGCCCCAACATTGACATCCAGATTTTCAAGAAGCAGTTTGCGTGCTTTAGCAGAGTGCAGGAAGCACTCGGGGCACTGGCAATTGTCTCGCAGCCACACAGAAGGGTAAAGGCTCTTGCTCCCATCTTCCCAGTGGACACAGATAAACTGATTTGCCTCCAGAGCTTCCACTTTATGGATGGCTGCACTCGTGTTGAAGGCCTGAGCCGTCTGCATTGTCCCGGGCATTGAATGCTGCCAAGGCCTCCTGCTCAGGGAGAAATGTTTTTGATGGCTGTGCTTCCCGTTTTGTGCTTGCAGCAGAGTTCGAGAACAGTCTTGGTGGACTTTGGTTCTTAACAAGTATTTAGCGATTGAAGTCCACATCTTTCCTTTTCCTTGTTTGATCTTCAGTACAGAAAGGCCTTTTCACCCTGTGAAATCTCTCTCTGGGTCAGTGCTGTAAGAATAAAGCATACTGATGAAAGGCAAGAAGGAAGAAAAGGGATTCTGTTCAAAAGAATGTTACTTCTGGTCCCTGTCATCCTTTCATTCTGGCACATAATGTCTCCATTTCCCCCCAATTCCCTTGAAGTTCTGATCAAGTGTTTTTTGGGGGGAAAAGAAAGAAAAAAGTTTTAGCTTTGTATTGTATGCCTCAAAATTTGGACCCCAACACAAGAAGTCTGACAAAACCATGGTTTTGGAGAGCAGCAGATGTTGCAATACCAAACAATTTTAAAGGAAATATTATTGGCTGTTCCAAAAGAAATAACTTGCACCCATTGGTTCATCTCGATGCCCATAATATTGGATTAGCTGACACATCTGGCAAGTGTGGGTCCCTCAACGATCTGTTCAACCACTTTTCTCTCACAGATCTACAGATACTGCATTTGAACCTTAGAAAACGAGGCTCTGTTTACAGTGGGTGAGATTCAACTAATGAGTCATGTCAGCCAAAGCCCTATTCTAGGACTTCCGCTTGCACAATGGGCTTTCTTCCCTCTCTTCCTCCTGTGCCCCTGAAATTGTCTTAGGGCGTGGGATGGAGAGAACTCATGAGGAGTAACACAGGGGTAAAAGAAGGGAGATAATCTGAAATGTTTGTTCTGATCGATCAATAGTACAGTGGTGCCTCACAAGACGAAATTAATTCGTTCCGTGAGTTTTTTCGTCTAGCGAATTTTTCGTCTTGCGAAGCACGAAATCCCATAGGAATGCATTGAAATTCAATTAATGCATTCCTATGGTCAAAAAAAGTCCAAACAAAGCCAAATTTGGTACAACAAGAGTTTATTAAGTGCTCTTTAAAGTCACACATACTGTAAAGAGCATTTCAAAAATTGAAGGAACAATAAATTAAGTTTCTAAACATGACAGAAAAACATTTAAAAATCAACAAAGTGTACAGTACATTTTCTAAGACTCTGGGGGACAACTCGAAGAAGGTTCCTCTTCAGCTCTTTGCTTCTTGCTGAAGAACCCCCTCCTCAACTGTTCCCCCAGCCACCCACCACACAGAAATTCAAATCCAGATTTTTTTTAAAAAAAAGCAGAGTGGCCCAATGGTCACAGAAAATCATAAAAATGCAGAAAAAACACACACAAGCTTCCAGATTCTTGCAAACCCCTCCCCAACACCAAGTCCTTGAATTCCAAACACCCCAACCCAAAATCCAAAAACCCCCAAAAAAGTTTTAAAAGTTTAACTTACCAAATGGCTGCAAAAGAAGTTTTGGAAAAGCTTTAAAAATCACCAAAGTCTTCAAAAACCTCAAAAAAGGCTACCACACCACGTTCTATGAGTTGCTCCTCGAAGTCAAGTCGCAACTGTATTAACGGTGTTAAGAAAAAGGAAACAAACTTGCCAGACGTTTTCGTTTTTCGTCTTGCGAAGCAAGCCCATAGGGAAATTCGTCTTGCGAAGCAGCTCAAAAAACGCAAAACCCTTTCATCTAGCGAGTTTTTCGTCTTGCGAGGCATTCGTCTTGCGGGGCACCACTGTACAACAATGAATTCCTCCTATTGCTGCTCAGAGGAATTCCTAACCAGCAACACATTTGTCTATACGTGCTCTCACTCCTAACACCATTACGCAAGTTAAATTCACCCACTTGCAAAGCCACAATTAATGGTGCTTCTGTGAGCTTACAGATACACAGACAGATTCATTTTTGAGATGCGAAAGCGATCCAATCTCATGAAGCATCATCCAAGTGCTTGTGGCCAGGGTCACGCTGAACATGCCATTTCAGCCATCCCTTATGACAGCCTCTGCTGACCTGCTGCCCTCCATCTGCAGAAGGCTACAACTCCCAGCAGCTCCAGCCAGCACAGCTGGAGTCTACAACAGCTGGAGGGGAACCAGGTTGGCGCAGACTGCCTTATGAAATGGTTTAAAAACACGGATTCGCTCAAGAAGTGGTCACAATCGACTTTATATATTCATTTATCTCATTTATGAATCACTTCCCATGAAACATCCCAAAGTGATTAGCAACAAAAACGTCAACAATAAAACACACACATCAAAACAATTCCAATTTCAATTCAGATGCAGACTGGGATAAGAATGTCCACTTAAGTTTTTCCTTGCAACACCACAACGTAACCACATACTATATTATTATAGTATATTACAATTATGCTACTATTATTATAGTCAATATATTAAGCATCCAGAAAACAATCCCCTTGTACACATGTCCTTCCATACGGATGAACAGGTAGTCAAAACATGCACACTCTTCCTCCCCCTTTCATATGCACATAGACAAGGACCATGCAGATGCAGACATGCACAAAGGATGCTCTCATCCCCAACCTGGCAACTGCAGCAGCTGCTGCCTACTTCAGGCACCTGTGGCTGGCAAGGGAAGGAGCTGACCATCTGGGCACCTCCTTGCTTTTTTCAATAGAGTAGCCCAGACTAGGAGACAACAAACACACATGGCATGCAGCAGCACAGAGCTACACACATCACTGCTACTTCAGAGACTCCCCTGACAAAAACAATAGCAATACCTATACTGAGGGGGGAAATGAATGGAAAACAGGGCAAGGAAACCAACTTTCACTCCTCTCACCCTACAACTGGGGGATTGCAGTGGCAGCAGCAAAAGCCTCAAAACCAGTCAGGCCCATAGTTTTCCAGATGGCTGGCAACTCTCTCCTGCTGCTGGTTTCTCAATTAATAACAGATGGGGGAACACACATTTATAATGCTAGTCTGTCTAAGGTTCAAAGGAAGAACCATTTTTTCCTGGAAAAATCACAAGGTTGAACTTTCCAGTATCCCCTTACCCCAGTTAGCTGGGGTGACCAGGAGCTGCCAAAACTAAAGAATGGGGTGGGGGAGAGAGAAAAGCTTAAGAATGATGAGATCTGAAAACATAATAAATGTAAATTCCTATTGGCCTCATGGTTATGCAGCCTGTCGGAGCCAATAACTTTAATTTTTCATGCTTATCACTGCAAGCCGCAAAAGAGAACTGCTGACTGCATGTAAGTGGCATGTTGTTTACCCGCATCGTTCCATAACAGGGAAAGTATGCGCTAATATCTGTGCTCTCCCTGGGATGAAGCATTGCACCTGGTTGATTCTTTTTGCTGTTGTTCCCATCTGAAACCCTAAGCCAGCTCAGTCCAGTCATCTTCAACTTTTTGTGGCCTGAGCAAGATAGAACATGGCAGCTTCCTATGTTCTTAATGGAGAAAATACCTTTTCACAATACCAAAACAACAACCATCTTGTGGTATGTAGGGGACATTTTGTGTGTGCACAAGGGGTTCACTGGATCAGGGCCATTGTCTAAGATCCTCAGCTACCTTTTCACAGCAGCATAGTGCCTTGCATGTCCTTAGGTCCTGGGCAATACCCCAAAACCCACCTTTTCACACAGCCTTGCCAAACCAATTCTCTGTTCCATCTGTGCCTCTTTTCTCCAGGCCTTTGCCTTCTCTGCTCCACTTGTGTTTCCCAATATTCTGCTTTCTTTCCCTTTAATGACTGCTCAACATAACTGCCTATTTCCCCTTCCTTCTTTTAGCCTCTTGGGATCCCTGTATGCTGCTTCTCCAACCTCCCAGGCCTTCTCTACTTTCACGTTTCGCACCTCTGTGCTTCAGTTTGTAGTGACCAAAGAATCCCAATTTCTACTGCAGGGGTGAGGAAACTTTTTCAGCTCGAATGTCACATTCCCTTCTGGGTGGACACATGCCAAAGCTGGGTGGCCAGAGACTAAAGGAGGTGGAGCAATGAATGTAAATTTTATCTTTGTACAGTAGGCTAGTTTCCATACACCTACATGCCACTTTCTATCCTCCATCCAGGGAAGCAAGAGGCATTGTCAGAATTCTAGGTCACATATCAGCCATACAAAACAAAACAAAACAAAACAAAACAAAACAAAACAAAACAACCACTCAGTAAGAGTGCAAAGCAAGGACAATGAAGGGTGTGGCATGGGAAGAGGGGGTGTGGCTGAAGAGACGAAGCCGGGGGAAGAGTCCCAAGGGCCTGATAGCGAGGCTTGAAGGGCCGCGTTTCCAAGCAAAAGTCTTCAAAATACTTTGTTTCCAGACCTTTGCAGTAGACTTGGACCTAGGAGTATACCACGTTTCAGCTTTTTATTTGTGGCAAAAATACCAAGGCAGGAGCATCCTTGTACATGTAACTAGTCCAAAAAATATTGACATTTTTGCAGCTGTGAAAAGGAATAAACTCCAGCTCTCTGGACCACATTTCTATTGTGTCTTCCACTGAAACTGGGCGGAGTGAACATCAAAGGAAAACCATTGATTTATTCCAGCTGAAGAATGGCTCATCACACAACAAGAAGATAATTTGTGACTGAATTTTATATTACATGTTTACAAGGCTATAAATTCTTAAAATATTCACTGATGCTTAGATAGTTACATTTGAAGCAGACCGCAAGTACATATTTTCATACTTCACCATAATCCTGCTTCAAATCGTTGCACAAAAATTTAAATCCTTTTAAGTGGGGCAAGCAATTAATGCTCCACCCACCTTCCTTGTCTATTTGACGCAAAGCAAATGCTCAGAAGAAAATTAATCTACACCAGACACAAGAATTAGCTTCAACTAATGGCAGTTTCAAATAAACCAACACATTTAATTCTCCAGTATGGTGTAGTGGTTAAGAGCGGTAGTCTCATAATCTGGTGAACTGGGTTCGCTTCCCTGCTCCTCCACATGCAGCTGCTGGGTGACCTTGAGCTAGTCACACTTCTCTGAAGTCTCTCAGCCCCACTCACCTCACAGAGTGCTTGTTGTGGGGGAGGAAGGGAAAGGAGAATGTTAGCTGCTTTGAGACTCCTTCGGGAAGTGATAAAGCGGGATATCAAATCCAAACTACTACTCTTCTTCTTCTTCTTCTTCTTCTTCTTCTTCTTCTTCTTCTTCATTTTCAATCCTGGTGCTGTGGCTTACTTCCAAGGAATAAGGACAGCTGCTTGCAGGTATGCAAAGAATGATCTTTGCAGATGAGGGATGGCTGAAGTACTACCACAGTTTCATTAGCAGCTCTTATTCAGGTATCTTTGGGGGGGGGGCATGCCAATTTTGGAGGGGTTGTTGTTGTTTTAATCCCTTTATCCACGGTCCAAATCCTGATCAGCTACTCACTAAAAAATAACAGTGCATTTAGCCTCGGGGTCCATAAAGAGAGAAGGAGCAGTGATGTGGAGTTGGGAATTTTTCCTGCAGAAAATTTTCCATTTCTTAAATTCATTAGTAGCAATAAATGGGTGTCAATTGCAAATGAATGGGGCTGTCAATATCTTAGTCAAGCTTGGCAGTTCTAAACTGTTTGTTTCAATTACTTAAAATACAGTTGTACCTTGGGTCCCGAACGCCTTGGTACTCGGACATTTTGGCTCCCAAATGCCACAAACCCGGAAGTGAGTGTTCTGCTTAGTGAAAATTCTTTGGAACCCAAATGTCCGACAGGGCTTCTGTGGCTTCTGATTGGCTGCAGGAGCTTTCTGCAGCCAATCTTAAGCCGTGGTTTGGTTTCCAAACATTTTGGAAGTCGAACAGACTTCCGGAACGGATTCCATTTGACTTCCAAGGTACAACTGTACTGTTACAGGTTTGCAAGGGGGCAAGGATCCCCTCAAATTCCTGGGTGCCAGGTTCTCCCCATAATTTCTGAAATTAGTAAATTTGGGGTTTGATCAATGGATTTAGCAAGGCCTTAAAAAGTTAGTCAAACCAGCTTCCTCAGGAGCTGGGTTTAGAGAGGTGCCATTCAAGAACAAAGACAGGTAATAACAGAGTTATTACCTAGACAAAAGGTGAGAGATTCAGCATCAGGCTGCCTGGATTACAGGGGGTGAGATGTCACCACAGGAAAAAGTGCCTTTTGAAGGAGACTTTTGAAACAGAGGTTGCCAGGGCAACGGGGAGAGGATGCTTGAAGCTGAAGGGAAGGAATTGTTTTCTGCAAAGGCTGCTGTGAAGAAGGGAGGAAGCAGGCAAAACATGCATGCTGGCTAGGAGAGGCTGCACCAAGAGACCAGGGGCTATGTATGGTTGGCTGATGCTTTGGAACCAAGCTTACTGAAGCTATGAGACGAGCAATGAGAGACACTTTTGGGGTGTGATATTCTGCAACCCCCATACCAACATTCAGGTGTAAATATATATATAAACCATATTTTTCAAAGACACTACTCTCTGCTGTGCCTTGATTTCCCAATGGATATACAATGCTGGTTAAGAGCCATGACCCCTGGAATCTTGCTACCACTTGGCAAAGATTGGGGTGGCCTATAATGATCCATATAAAACAGACACGCTCACCGAGATTACTCTAGAACAGGAATATCTAACCTGAAGCCTGTGCCAAACATATGGCCCCCAGTGTTTTTAGTTTCCCTTCCAAATCTGTCATTTAAAAAAGAAGTTTAAAAAAGGATTCTTTTTTTGTTTACTGTTCCAATGGGTCACCCACTGTGACACCCCTATGCCAAAAGGATCTTTGGGGGCTCCCAATTCCTTTTTAAAAGTTTTATTGATTGCTCCTATATGTGCCCCACTGTGACAATGTGATGTCAAAAGTTTAGGAATAAACTTGAAAAGTAGTCCTACAACTCTGCATTTCAATACATATTTTAGAAATACCTGTGAGATTGGATTGCACATATAAACACCCAAATCACCACACCATTCAACTTCCAATAGTATTATTTTGATCCCTTATGAATGATCACACAAGGTATTTTTAATACCTCTTTTGAATTATTAAAGGCTGAAAAGATAAACTTTGCAAGCTTACAGAAAAGAATGGTTGTAGCCTGAGCAATGCATCCAAGCAGTAAAGATGTTTTGCATTTTTGTCATGAAACACGCTCATGTAAGCATTCAGTTGATGGTATCAAAAGACAGCAGAACCAACGGGGTCACACTCCCCTTGCCTAGCTCTGGACTCTAGTTCCACCCACCAAAGCAACCAAGGCTATTTCAGTCCTAAAACCAGGCATAGCAAAATGTGCCTTAAACACAAAGAGCAGGCTTCACCTAACTAGTCCTACTAGTGGAAGCCCACACAAGGGCATGCACTAGTGCAACAGGGTTTTCTTTCCCTTTCCTTCCCCTGCACCCCCCACAATTGGCACAGGGTGGGGGTGGGAGAACCCCCAGCACAGCATGGGGGTGGTGTTCTGCCTGGCAAGCTGATGGAACAACTGCCATAGCACTACATTAAATTCATCCCAAAGTAAAATTAGAAGAAAGAGGACCAGGAGGGGGTATGGGGAGAAAGCAAGGATGCCAAGATCTGACCATTAAAGGAAGTGGGAGTTCAAAATATATGAGGTGAGATTTAAAATGTCTAGCTGAAATATGCTTTAACTATTCCTTCTTTACAAGGCAATATTTGGCACACTTGCGCTATTACAGTATTTCATACTTTTACTAGATTAAAACCATACTGACCTGGAAGACCACCTATGCCTGGGATATGTAGAAGCAACTGTGTCAAATATTCTTTTATATAAGAGATCAGAGAAGGGTCAGTTTTGTTAAAAGGATGGGTAATTTTATTACCAGTAACTCTGTAGTTAAATACAAATAAACCAAATTACTGCATTCTAGGGGATTAGCCAATTGCTGATGAGGTCAGGAAAAAGAAAAATCTCTGTATTACAAAGCCAGTTACAATTCTCTTTCATTAAAAGTTTTTGGAAGAGAAACTTAGGCTATGTACACATTACCATTTAATTCGGATCAAGTGTGCTACCATCCCTGGTGTTTGAAGCTGAGTAAATGTAACATTATAGCCACAATCCATATGTATCCTGTAGTGTCTTGTTGCAAGGATATGGAAACAAATTAGGTAATGTACATTGGGTGAAAATGTGCTAAATACCCCCTGATCCTAGTAATATCCTGTATGGATATAATGCAAGCTCCAGCCCACTTATTCTGGAACACTAACATAGACATTGGCAGGATTCCTGTTGAGTAAAAGGGTTGTGCATCACAACCTCACTTTGTAAAGAACTCACCTTAAACAACCTCTCGTCCTAAGAAGACACCAAACCCAGAGTCTATGAGAAATCCCTTCATATTAAAACATAACCGGCAGTAAACACATTCCATGCATTTTATTCTGATAACCATGTTTACCAAGGAATATATGAATTCATGGTGGCTGACACAGACAGCTTTTTCCCAGTCCTGCCCTGTCCTGCCATATTTCTACCCAATTCAGTGCTAAGGAACAGCTCTGTAAGATGCTAATGCTGTTTCAGGCACAGGAGGAAATTCTGAACTGCCACAAACATCCAGTGTTGAGATGTTGTGGTGGGCTAGCGGTAGTGATGCCCCATCAACCGTCCTCAAAGAAGCATTTCAGAATCCGAAATTTAATTTATAATTTGAGAGGTGCAGAGGGCTTGCTCAAATTTGATTAGACGTCACACCTCATGACCTGGAAGCCTTGATCTCTGATTCTCAGTAACTGAAATGATGAGATTCCTGAGAGGTGAAGAAAAGCTACTTGAAGATGTTCATTTATAGTGCAATCTTAAGTACAGGAAGCTGGCGGGACAGACACCAGTTCAAGTTAAGTCAGCATCCCTGCAGTGAAATAATTTTGATCTACACATTTCTCAAAAAACCTTTCACAGATCAGTTACATGACCTGGCAAACCAGGTGAAATGTACACTGCCAAAAGGTTTTGTAAGTCTCTCCTTGTCCTGACCACAACTCTGAAACACTTGTATTGGGGAACTTACACTGGCATGTGCTCTGGTGGCTTAAGTTCCGTTGGCTGAGACCCAGCTCAGCCAGACTGAGGGAGATACACAGTTGTATCCCTGGCGGAGTTGGGATGGGTGAGTTATGCTGGCGTAGCTGAGCCAGGACAGCTGAAGATCCACCTTTTCCAAACTTGCTCATCCTGACAGGTCTTGGGTTTGGATTGCACTGTTATTTATAACTGCATTGCATGTTCCAGGTTGGATCCATGACAATGATTCAAAACAAACACACATGAAAACAAGGCCCCACCATTTCCCACAGCTATCATACCATATGGCTCTCTCGCACAAGGGTCATTTGGCTACCTGCATCATTGTGCAAAATGGAGAGGCGTTTACCATACACCACATACGTGCAGCATAAGCCTGAATACGGGACTCATTGTTTTAGTCTGAAAATGACTCACTTGCTTCCTATCATCTTGCTTACTGAATGCAAATATGTTCACATAGTGTGGTTCCTTATGCACCTGCACACAAGTAGCATCAAGTCTGGGACAGCCCAAAAGTTTGCGTAAGTGCAAAAAAGGGAGGGGCACTGAGGAACCTAAGTGTGGAAGGGGGGACACCCAAAAGCAGAACAGAGAGTACTGAAAAAGTTTTGTATGGGCTGGCTGACTAGGACAGGGGGAATGGGAAAGGGGGGAACGTAATGGTGTGTGATAGAGGGCAAGGTTGGAAGCTGGCCAGGCCCCTGAGCATGCACACTCCATTCGCAACATTTTGCGGCACCCCATGCCTCTTCTACGGCTCCCTCTGTATATGGAGTGGATTTGTACCAGGGAAATGCCCATGGCTGCCTCAGCCCAGGCTCACCCATGGGAGGTTCCTATCTCCTCAGTAGCTTTTCTACAAGGTCTGTTGTACAAGGTTTTCCTCTACATGCAGGTCCCGATGCCCCCGAAAGAACCCAATAGTGGGGGTGGTGGGGGTTTCCACTGGTTCCCCCACCCCTTTCGCAGGAGTTAAGACTGCAAGTCCAGCTGCACTTTATTTGGGAATAGGTCCCCGCTGAATTCTGCAGAACTTGCCGCCGAGTTAACTTTCGGAGAGGACCGAGCTAGCAAGCAGTTGAGGAATAGGATCCTCCTCTCTCCCTCCCTCCCTCCCTCCCCCCACCGGCGACGAGGCCAAAAGGAGGAGCCACCCATGAACTCTGCCCTAAAGCGCCTGCCAGAGGGACGCAGCCACCTTCGGTCTCCACAGGCTGGGCTTTCCAAACAGCGCGCGCGGGCTGCGGCGGGTGGGAGGGCTCCTTACCTGCCTGGCGCTACAGCTGGGCAAAGCCGGCCAACTGGGTCCTCCCACCGCCGCCGCCTTCGGCTGAGGCAGGGAAGGAACGGCACAGGCGTGCAAACAAGCAAGCCGCAGCAGAGAAGGCGAAGGTCAGTTCGCCGGCTCGCCTTCAAAGAGCAGCTGCAAAGGCGGTAGGCGGTGATTCAGTTGCGCGCGCGCACGCACCCCTTCTTGTTTGGGACGGTATGCGCGCCCGGGAGAGAAGCTCAAAGCGCAGGGCATGCCGGGATATTTTTTTAGTGCTGCCCCCAAACCTGTTGCTTGAAAGGAGTTGCTGTCAGCAACGATACAGTTAAAGATAGACACCCTTCGAGGTCGCATCCCGCGAGCCAGGAACGCCCGCGGGCGACTGGCTGGAGGAATAGGAATCTCTCCGTTCCTTGAGAGGGCTTTTCAGCCGGGGGCCGCATTGCCTTCTAAGCAACCTTCCTCGGGCCATATACCAGTGGTGGGTGGCGCCAGAGGCAAACAAAGAGAGTGGCAGGGTGGTGTAGTGGTTAGAGCATCGGATTAGGATCTGGGATCCCCACTAGGCCGTGGGGTGACCTTGAGCCAGTCGCTGCCCCTCTGCTTAATCTGCCTGGCAGGGTTTGTTTGCGAAGATAAAATGGGGAAGGGGAAACCATGAGACCACCTTGAGCTCATTGGAGAACGAGGTAGGATGTAAATGTAATAAAGTAAAAGGGCCATTTTTATCTCTGTACAATAGACTGGTTTTACACCCACACCCTTTTGTTTCTGCACAAGCAAGAATCCATCCCGTTCAAGCACACAGGGAGAGGGGTGTGTGGAGAGCCAGATAGAGAGGCTTAGGATTTGGCCTTGGGAAGGTCCCCCCCCCTTTGTACAGCAAGAGCACCTCATCTCATTCTGGGTGGCACTGAACAGGCCTGTGAATGTGGGGAGCATAAAATGATTGCAGGGAACAGCTGCCCTCTCACTTTTCCTCTGGAAAGGGAGAATTGGGTCTGCTGTAGTGCTCAGAGGCAAAGCGCAGCTCACAACATGGAAGGCTGATACCCCCCCCACTGCTATACTTCCCAGTAGCAGAGGCAACCTCTACAACTTTCTCTTGTTATGTCTTTATACCTGTATTCAGATTGCACCCTGTGTTTAACTATATAGGATCTAAATTTCCAATGTAATTTCTATGTAGAATTTCAGAGCCTTCTAGGCTACTCACTCTAGCCCCCTGCTAGAGGAAGGTAATCCAGAACTAGAACAACCCCCACAGATGACCATCTACTCAGCTTGAAGATATGTAATGACGATAACCAATAAGATCCCTAGGTTCTATTGTTCAGTTGTTTTCCACGAAGAAGTTTCTCCTAGCATTCAGCCATAATCTAGCCTAAGTTCATATAGTAGAGCTATAGACGTGCAGCGCAAATCTCCAGTAGATGTCACAAAATTGGAAAGTGCAAAAACTTGTCTTCTCTTTTTAACACAATACAGCCAAGATAAAGAAACTGGTAATTGCACGACTTTGCAATTCAGTGTTCAGCTCTTGCAAATTCATAATTCATTGCTCCTCAGACGTACACTAGTTGATTTCACAGCCAATAAGACAAACTATTATGGCTTTGCATAAGTGCAGAATTAAGGAACAGCACACTGTGGAGTTGCAAGTAGTGAAATCAAGCTCCAAGTATCAACACCACCAAGTGTAAAGCCTATTCATCAGTGTTACACCAGAAATAACATATGGAATATCTCCAGTGTTTTAATACTGTCAAGCCAACGTCTTTATCAAAGACTGCAACATTTTACTTGGATTTAAGAATGGGTAGTGTGATTGATGGAAACAGGAGCAGATGTAGTAGAGAACTTAAAAGACTGTTTTGTGAATTAGATTTTAACAGCCATTTTGGCAACAAGACTGGAAAATTAATTCATACTCAGTTTTGTTACGTATAGGAAATTAAATATTTGGGTTGGTAGCTCTATTCTATAAGACTCAGTGCTGTAATCCGTTCATAATATGTCTTAATTCTGTTCTGTAAGTCACATATAAAAAAGGTAACTTTATAAAGAAAGTTGACTTTGCCTAAGTCATATATAGGTATAAAAGGTAAAAGACCCCTGGATGGTTAGGTCCAGTCAAAGGTGACTGTGGGGTGTGGTGCTCCTCTCGCTTCAGGCTGAGGGAGCCGGCATTTGTCCACAGACAGCTTTCTGGGTCATGTGACCACAGACAGCTTTCTGGGTCATGTGACCAGCTTCTGGTGCAACAACACACGGCAGAAGCTAGAGCGCATGGAAATGCCGTTTACCTCCCCGCCACAGCGGTACATATTTTTCTATTTCCGTTGGTATGCTTTCAAACTGCTAGGTTGGTAAAAGCTGGAACAGAGCAACAGGTGCTCATCTCACCATGCGGATTTGAACTGCTGACCTTCTGATTGGCAAGCCCAAGAGGCTCAGTGGTTTAGACAACAGCACCACCCACTAATAATAATAATAATAATAATAATAATTTATTCATACCCCACCCATCTGGCTGGGCTTCCCCAGCCACTCTGGGTGGCTTCCAAAAAAAATATTAAACTACTGTAATACATCAAACATTAAAAGCTTCCCTAAACAGGGCTGTCTTCAGATGTCTTCTAAAAGTCTGGTAGTTGTTGTTCTCTTTGACATCTGGTGGGAGGGCATTCCACAGGGAGGGTGCCACTACCGAGAAGGCCCTCTGCCTAGTTCCCTGTAACCTGGCTTCTCGCAGTGAGGGAACCGCCAGAAGGCCCTCGGTGCTGGACCTCAGTGTCTGGGTAGAACGATGGGGGTGGAGACGCTCCTTCAGGTATACTGGACCGAGGCCGTTTAGGGCTTTAAAGGTCAGCACCAACACTTTGAATTGTGCTCGGAAACGTACTAGGAGCCAATGTAGGTCTTTCAAGACTGGTGTTATATGGTCTCGGCAGCCGCTCCCAGTCACCAGTCTAGCTGCCGCATTCTGGATTAGTTGTAGTCACCTTCAAAGGTAGTCCAACGTAGAGCGCATTGCAGTAGTCCAAGCGGGAGATAACCAGAGCATGCACCACTCTGGCAAGGCAGTCCGCAGGCAGATAGGGTCTCAGCCTACGTACCAGATGGAGCTGGTAAACAGCTGCCCTGGGCACAGATTTGACCTGTGCCTCCATGGACAGCTGTGAGTCCAAAATGACTCCCAGGCTGCGCACCTGGTCCTTCAGGGGCACCCCGTTCAGGACCAGGGAATCCTCCACACCTGCCCACCTCCTGCCCCCCAAAAACAGTACTTCTGTCTTGTCAGGATTCAACCTCAATCTGTTAGCCGCAATCCATCCTCCAACCGCCTCCAGATACTCACACAGGACCTTCACCGCCTTCACTGGTTCTGATTTAAAAGAGAGGTAGAGCTGGGTATCATCCGCATACTGATGAACACCCAGCCCAAACCCCCTGGTGATCTCTCCCAGCAGCTGCATATAGATGTTGAAAAGCATGGGGGAGAGGACAGAACCCTGAGGCACCCCACAAGTGAGACCCCAGGGGTCTGAACACTCACCCCCCCCCACTTTCTGAACACGGCCCAGGAGGAAGGAGCGGAACCACTGTATGACAGTGCCCCCAGCTCCCAGCCCCTCAAGATGGTCCAGAAGGATGTTATGGTTGATGGTATCAAACGCCGCTGAGAGATCCAGCAGAACTAGGAAATAGCTCTCACCTTTGTCCCTAGCCTGCCGGAGATCACCAACCAGTGCGACCAAGGCAGTTTCAGTCCCATGATGAGGCCTGAATGCCGACTGGATTCCCTCTAAGTCTAGATGGCATCTAGTATAGATGGCAAAATGCATTGGAAAATGTGGGATAACACTTGCTTTGATGCAACATCATCTAACCTCCCCACAACCAAATCTGAATGAATGCTCATTAAGTAGCTGGTGTCGTCCAATCTAGCAAATAAACCGGAATGAATGCTCAGTATTCAGGTCATATGGAAGTGCCCTGCCTTTCTATATACCATGCTTCCTATAGCACACAGACTACACAAATTGTCTACTTATAGGGCTGGAGACAGTGATAATGAAACAGCAAGGAGAGACTTCAACCAATTCCAGTCTAATGAAGTATTGCCAGCATTTCATTTTAAATTCTCATGAAATACACTCTCAAATTGTAGTAATTAATTCTGAAAAAAAATGAAAGAAAATATTTCAAAACGAATTGAGTGAGGATAGAAATCCTGGAGTTAAACATTTCTGCAGCTGCAGATGTAATTCTGAAAAAAATTTAAGTCAGCAGTGTTTGCTTGATTGATGCATCCTATGGAATGTATAATGGGTGTTGCATGAGATCCAAGTGGAAAAGAATCTTATCCAACTGAAATAAAGCACACTCCTTTCTAGATTACATAATAACTCAGCAAAACTATGACTCATTACCATTATCCTTCTATTTTCTGAATGCTTGTAAAATGGAACTTTAAAATAGAAATATCCAAAGTAATGTGTAATGAAAATCTGGAACTCGTTTCCTTTACAGTGCACTACGTGTTTTTGTTACTGTCACAATATCATTTTACAGAAAGGTTAATTTACTTATTCCATCCAGCCCCACGTTGGCCATCATAACAACCCAATTAAGCGGGAGTGCTTCAACATAAGGTTTTGTCCCATGTGCCTGCTACAGTTGCATGTAGCAACTATTTATTATATTTTTATACTGCTGTTTCTTCAGGGGTCTCAGGGCAGTGCACATGGCTTCTCCCCAGCACCACCCTGTTGCATGCCATGTAGTAGTAGATTAAGCAGGGACATGGCCCTGCCATGACTGAGCAGGGATCTGAAAACAGTTCCCCCTAGCCCATCATTCCCCAACCTTGTGTCCTCCAGATGTTTTGGACTGCAACTGCCATTAGCCCTGGCTAGCATATGTTGAGTGGGACTGATGGGAGATGTAGTCCAAGGCATCTGGAGGGAACTAGGCTGGTGAGGACTGCTCTGGTCCCTATCTGACACTCTACATCACACTGGCTCTCATGACAACTTACCTGGCATTACTTGCCTCAGTTTCCCACTGCATTTTCAAGCTGTGGAAATTATGAAAATTGCCACCTAGAAGCTGCAGCTGTATCTGGAGTTATGTGTCACAGAGGAGCCTTAGACCATGTGACCTGTCCCACGGGAAAAATAAGTAGGTGTTTAATGTTAATCATCTGCTACACAGGGCATTTCTTAAGAATGTGCTCTTGCATGGTCACAACTGGATGGAATTTACTGTGCCGGAAAGTTCTGCTTCTAAAGGAACAAGTGCCACCCTGCTGGGACACATTTAGAAGAAAAATGTTTCATATGAAGACTTGCATGGAAAAACCATCTTATGATAACTTGGCTTTGTAATCACACCTGAGTATTGTCCACTAGTGATGCAACAGCTTTGGTAAAGCAGTCAGTTGCCATGGATGAGCAAAGGATTCGTTTTGGAGCATGATTATTC